TGACCCTCTCTGTTGGATTTTACCCGACCTGCTCCGCAATGGGGCGGATTTCTAATCCATTCCCAAACAGGGGGGATCATGCCCCGACCCGTGAGAAGAACGGAGCGGATATGAATAATATTGTACAACTCGGCCTAAGCTGACCTCGCCCGAACCGCCCCACCCTATTATTTCCACTCCAGGCTCAGTTTCTTCTTCAATTAATGGAGAAAAAACACTTCTTATACAAAGAAAGTGGGCCTAGCCCAAAGATAGAAGGGGTTTATTAATTGTTGATGGGCTTGTATTATCTTAGGGACGAGAAAATTGTAAAAAGGAAGGGAATTTAGGGATTATGATGGGTTTCTTTGCCTACCAGCATCAGTCACCGCAACCATCTCCTCTCTCGCGAAGGAACTTGCGCCCGCGGCCTACAAGTCCGTGTAATGGTAGGCCTCGATCAAGATGCCATCTTTGGCGTCCTTTCCTTTTCCCCCTGCCGTCGATGGGTAAGGATCAGTCTCCCTTGAATATAGTTATGCCGCCATTTTGCATCTCTCTAGTTTTGAAGGCTCAAATGAAAGCAAACTGACCAATTTTATTGGAATGAATGAAAATGACCATAAATGCACAACTCTGGCCACAAGATCCGGCCTTTTACCCACTACTCTAACTCCAGTTCCCTGATATACAACAACCACTAACAACTAACCAGCTAACATTCTGCAAATCTTGACCCAACTAACCAACAGACACGGATGGACTATTTTGACGCAAAACTGAACTAAAGAACCATAAATACAATTAAACAAACGACCCCACTTTGGCTTAACAGCCTTATTTCCAACTCAGACTCCCCGCCTCCTTGTTGCAGCTATCAGTCAATTGGAGGACTGCTAACAAATCCTCCCCTAAACTGAAGCCTCTTATACGACCACTTCAGTTCACTTCTCAATGGTTGCCTTCAACATAAGTTCAAAATCTTCAGCCCTTGTCTACAACAGCTACTTCAACAGCATCACACGCTCCAATTGTATCAAGCTTCAGAGTCATCACATCATAACTTTTGATTGCTAACACAAAAAATGACAACAGCAACAATCTTGTGACCCTTATCTGTAGAATTGTTTTAGTTGAATCAAAATTTCCACGCTTGTCAAATGACTCCACAAAAATGTCCAGCTTCAATGCTGATGGACCCGGTATTCACCTGCTTCACCTGCCTGTTGAAATAAAGTATTTTACTCCAATTATTATTAAATAATTAATATATTATATCTTATTATATTTCATTTAATATGATTATTATTACTATATTATTATTATTTATCTGATTTCCTTCATTTTCATTTACTTTCTCCTTATTTCCCCAATTTTCCCCTATATTCTTCTATTTTCTTTCACTTTCACTCTCTTTTCCCCCTTCTTTCCTTCTCTTCCCACGTGAGAGTGGCAGAACCCACCCTTCCCTTCTCCTTTCCCCCTCTTTCTTTCTTTTATTTTCACTCATATGCATAAATGTATGCATGCCCATGCAAATCTATTTCCCCCTACATTTTTCCTCTATAACTCATTCACTCCTTTATTTTCCATTACATACCAACACTTTCTCATACATTCTCATACATACTTGAACTTTCCCATATACAATAATTGGTGAGGAATATTGGTGTATGATGGAGAATGTTAAGGTATAATGGAGAATGTTGGTGAATGTTAGCGTAAGTCGAGGAATTCAACTACGAATTTTTCCTATAAATAGGGAGCACCCCTCCCCCTTTCTCAACAGACCATAAGTCCCTCCACACAGCAAGTCACACACACACACACACCACATAAGTCGCTTACGACTACTTCACACAACACAACTCACACACAATATACACTCTCTCTACTTTCTCTCTCTAAAAATGTTTTCTCTATCCTCCCGATCTCCCAAAAACGTGTTAAATTTCTAAACACTCAGCACACTCTCAATTTGGCGGACTAAGCCATGGAATCGTGGATAGTCTCCACCGGTCGGCATTAAATAGCCGACGACGCTCTATTACGACCGTGAGACCGAACCAGGTTTAACGTCATTGTATTTATTTTATTCCATTCAGGTTACTAATTTGAGCGTCAGAGGAGGTTCCAACCAGGACCCCCCGGTGGGACCTTTTTTTCCAGGTATTCGCACGGAGCCGGAGGTGGTTAAAGGCTTTGGGAAATCAGCGCTCTCTGGACCTTAAACATATTGAAGCAGGCTGCTCTAAGCTTGGCATCAACAATTGGCGCCCACCGTGGTGCCCGGTGAGAAAAATATTGCCAAAGTCTAACAAAATCACCGCCACATTGTGATGAATATTCAGGATACTACCAGCATACTTACCATCAAAGCGGAGAGTCGCCCTATTACAACAATCAATAATGGGGGCAATCTAACCCCATCATCGATTAGGGAACACAATTCAAGAATTAGGCCAATCCAAGGGCCAATGGGTCGAGGAGCTGCCACATGTGCTTTGGACGAACAACTTACAAAACTTCCACTGGGGAGATGCCATACTGACATTGGTAGTTTGGCACTGATGTTATGTTTCCAATTGAAATGGAGCTCTCCTCTTACAGAATCCAACCATTCCAACCCGATGAAAATCAAATCGAGCTCACTCATGATCTACATATCATAGAGGAGCGTCGAGAATACGCACTTATGCTACATGTCGCTTCCAAAGAGAGGATCACGCGTTATTTCAACGTCAAAGTGAGAAATCGACCCATCCGGGAAGGAGAATGGGTTCTGAGGAGAAACTTCAAAAAAATTCAAAGTCATGGAAATTTTACTCCCCAGTAGGAAGGTCCTTACAAGATGCGCAAAGTGGTGGGACCAAATACAGTCAAACTATCTCTCCATGATGACCAGGATATGTCACGTAAAACTTCAAAATTTGTGCCTCATTTGGTAATCATTTCTACACTCTCTTCATTACTGGGTAAATTATGCACTAGGTTGTGCCAAAATAATTTCACATGTGCAAAAATATTCATGCCACAATTTTTTTAGACTAGTATATGCCAAAAAAGACATATATCCCGTCAGTCCTATGCTCGTGATCTACATTAAGGCGAGGATATGAACAGCCAAAGAGATTGCTTTAAAACATGTTCTGTTATCTTCTTGCCGATAGAAAAGTCACGATCATTTTTCATGAACTCCTGCTAAAATCACAGTCATTTCTCATGATTTTCTACCGGCAGGGGGCGCAATTGATGGACCCGGTATTCACCTGCTTCACCTGCCCGTTGAAATAAAGTATTTTACTCCAATTATTATTAAATAATTAATATATTATATCTTATTATATTTCATTTAATATGATTATTATTACTATATGATTATTATTATTTATCTTATTTCCTTCATTTTCATTTACTTTCTCCTTATTTCCTCAATTTTCCCCTATATTCTTCTATTTTCTTTCACTTTCACTCTCTTTTCCCCCTTCTTTCCTTCTCTTCCCACGTGAGAGTGGCAGAAGCCACCCTTCCCTTCTCCTTTCCCCCTCTTTATTTTTTTCTTTCTTTCTTTCTTTCTTTTATTTTCACTCATATGCATAAATGTATGCATGCCCATGCAAATCTATTTCCCCCTACATTTTCCCTCTATAACTCATTCACTCCTTTATTTTCCATTACATACCAACACTTTCTCATACATTCTCATACATACTTGAACATTCCCATATACAATAATTGGTGAGGAATATTGGTGTATGATGGAGAATGTTAAGGTATAATGGAGAATGTTGGTGAATGTTAGCGTAAGTCGAGGAATTCAACTACGAATTTTTCTTATAAATAGGGAGCACCCCTCCCCCTTTCTCAACAGACCATAAGTCCCTCCACACATCAAGTCACACACACACACACACCACATAAGTCTCTTACAACTACTTCACACAACACAACTCACACACAATATACACTCTCTCTACTTTCTCTCTCTAAAAACGTTTTCTCTGTCCTCCCGATCTCCCAAAAAACGTGTTAAATTTCTAAACACTCAGCACACTCTCAATTTGGCGGACTAAGCCATGGAATCGTGGATAGTCTCCACCGGGCGGCATTAAATAGCCGACGACGCTCAATTACGACCGTGAGACCGAACCAGGTTTAACGTCATCGTATTTATTTTATTCCATTCAGGTTACTAATTTGAGCGTCGGAGGAGGTTCCAACCAGGACCCCCTGGTGGGACCTTTTTTTCATGTATTCGCACGGAGCCGGAGGTGGTTAAAGGCTTTGGGAAATCACGCTCTCCGGACCTTAAACATATTGAAGCAGGCTGCTCTAAGCTTGGCATCAACAAATGCATTTTTCACAATGTTGGTTATATGATCACAAAATCCAACCACTTTCCCTTTGTCAAATTCCCTCGGATGATGGAAACTAAGATTAGTGTGTTCACTCATTTCTTGCACTATTGAATTCTTGGAAAGCTCAATGATCAAGAAGTTGTCACACATAATCTTGATTCTTTGTGATGTCTAATGGGCAGTAACCAAAAGTTCAACTTCAGTGATGATATCATTAGCCACTGAATGCTCCTTGCATGCTCCATATATAACCTCTCTTGAATCTCGAACGGATGTAAACTTGGTTACATAGACCATGAAAGACAAAATTATTCCACTCCTTCCATAACTATCATCAAGTCACAATCTGCTGCACCATCTTTATAGTTGATAAATCTTGCTGCCAAAGTGATAAAAACAGTCACAAAACTAGCTATAAAGCTAGATGTGAACATAAATTGAGTAATAACCAAACTAGTGATTAGGTATGTGACCATACTATCTGCAATTAGCCACTTCTGAACACTGTAGACTTGTAAAAACACAGTTGAAAAATTTGCCGCAAATATGATCCAATATTCTGTAAAAATAGCTACAAAGCTTACTAACCTTGTTGCATAATAAGCTATAATAGGTTCACCAAATATATCTTTATATTTAGTTGTCTTAACCTGGATCCTCTCTTTAAACCTGGTGTAGATTGCTCGAATCCGCTGTAAGCTCCTTTATCTTCACTACATGATTCTTTGAATGATCATTGTCCTCCCCAGTTTCATGTGTGCTCATATACCCAAATTTCCTGTACCTTCTTGGTCCCAATTTCTCAGTATTTTCAAACTTCTTTTCCTCAAATTCAACATCGCCAACCCTTGTACCTGGATTGGAAACTCTTTCTGGATTGGAAACTCTTAGAACAACCTTATTTCCCTGCTGGTGGCTAAAGATATCATCCAGTTTAAACTTTATAACCTGTTTCTCATCACCACTACTAACCAACTTCTCACCATTGTTGTCATACATTGCAGTATGCATACTCAAGCACAACAAATCTGACTCTAGTTCCTTTAGAGCCATAATCTTCTCCCCTGCAACCACAAGCTCTAGTGGTTGCATAACATGAGCTACTTTTGTCACCTGTCTATGAAAACAAAAACTTAACCAATCAAGATGAGATGATAAAACTTGCAAGCTTCTACTGGAGTTCATATTTGATGATTCCTTAGTTATGGAATCCAAAGGTGTTGGGGAGGAAGCCCTAACATATATGTTGCCTTCGGTTCCTCGTCTTCCTCTTCTTGAATCTGAATTGCATCATATGAAATCACAGTAGTTACACTAAATGTTTATGTTACTGCGAGTGGAGAATCCTTATTAGACTCACATAAAAAACACCACCAACCTCCCTTTTATGGATCACTACATCAGATCTCATCGTCTCCATACATTGAAATTCAGGTTCTGCCATATTGTATGCAGAATCAGCATGTAGCACAAACATATTGTTTGTCTTCCTTCTAATGCAAAACTAGAGGCCCTTTTCATCATGATATACTTTACAAACTCCATGACTAATAAGGAAACTTAATACCTTATCCAATGCTCAGCAAATTTGTTCTTATTCCTGGGACATAGAATGCATCATGAATAACTATGAATTTGTGTTCGATTTGCATTCTAATGGTTCCCCTGCGAGCCACTTGCAACTCATCCCCATTTCCTAATCTCACAATGCAAAATAAAGCATGATCAATGCTAGAGAACTAGTTCTTGTTACCTGACATGTGATGGCTGCAACCTGAATCTAGAAGCCACTAGGTTCTGCAACCTTCTATTCCTTCACTATCAGCATGATCAGCCTCCAAAGAGGCCATTAATCCCATCTCACTTCCTTTTTCTCATATCTCTGACACGCTATGACACAACACCTAACAATGGCCAAGTGTAACCAATGAAAGGGACGGCAGTATAGTGGCACAAGTAATAAATATCGAATCCACGGGTCTCTAGAGTTACTATTACTCAGCTTCAGTTCATTATCTAGCAAACTAGATTAAGGATTAATTTACTAAACTACTCTACTAACTACTCTACTAATTACAAGTTGGGAACTCACTTAGGTATGATTCTCCCTAGCTCCTCAATTAGGTCCAAGTTGCAATTACCTTTGGTTGATCTACTGTTGATTAAACTGCGGAAGATCCTAAATTAGCTTGGAATCTCTTAAGCTGACCAAGCCCTCTTAGACAGAATACCCGGCAGGCGACTGCCTTCACCAGGATAGACTGCTAAGGCGATTCACACAGATCTCCACTACTGGAATGAATTCCAGTACAAAGCAGTGAATTGATTGACTCTCGCACAACCAATTCACCACTATCAATCAAGGAAGCTCTCTTAACCTAATCAGATTCTATCTATCATAGGTTAAAGCAGAAATCAAGAGAATTTGATCAATATTCAATTGACTCAATAAGTCATGCCTCAATCGGTTATAATCAAACAATATAACATCCAAAACTTCATACAAGAAAGATCCTAACACATGGACCTAGGGTTCCTCAAAACCTAAGTGAAGGGAAGTTACTCCATAGAGAAGAGAGAGACTGCAGAAATCTGATCTAGATCTTCAATCTCCATCTCCCAGCTTGATTCCCGAGCTCCAATGGCGAAGAAATCCTCCAAAATAGCTCCAAGAATGTTCCCAAGTCGCTCTCTCTCTATAGGGTTCGTCCCTTGGGTGTTTGGGAACCAAAACCCAGCTCTCCCTCTCCTTTGGCTCGAATTTGGGTTAAAACCCAGAATTTCCCGACTCACACGGCCAGGCCACACGGCCGTGTGACTTTCCCAGCTTCCCATGTGAGTGTCCAAACGCGGCGTTTTGATTAGTGGGCAACCAGGCAAGCTGCACGTGCAGAGGCCACACGGCCGTGTGGCTCCCCAGGTTGTCCGTGTGGCTCTTACCGAGCCTTCACACGGCCACAAGGGGACCCTACACGGTCGTGTGAGGTGCAATGGTGCTCGTGTGGCTTCCCAGCTTCTCGCCAAACGTCCAATCTTCGTCCAATCGATCCCGAACTTGTTCCCAGGCCTTCATTCATGTGCTAGGACCTGAAATATCACAAACAAGCACAACCTGGCATGAAATCGGCCTAAAACACGAGAATCAACATCTCAAACGGCTCGATAATAGGGGTAAAAACATGTGTAATTATTCGTCTATCAGTCTCCTATTCCGCACAAGCCATTAGCAACACATCATCCTTCATGTCTCCATGTGATCTTTCTTGAGACGGATGATAGTTGGAGTAATAAGCATGTTGATTTGTTATCATTCTGGGCACTCATGTCTATAGTGTCCAAGTTTGTGACACTTGAAACACTCCATAGACTCCTTGTTCTTGCCTCTTCCTCCTCCACTTCTTCCTTTTCCATCACGGTTTCCTCTTCCTCCAAACTCATGAGTAGTTCTGAGAGCATGGTCTTCCTCAACTACATCTCTCCTATTGAGTTTTTGTTCATGTACAATCAATGAACTCTGCAAGGCATCAACTGTCAGTAATTCTATGTCCTTAGACTCTTCTATTGAACAAACCACATAATTGAACTTTTCAGTCGAATTCTTAAGATCTTTTCCACAATATGCACATCATTCAGATATTCTCCACAGCTTCTCATCACATTAGCCACTACCATGACTCTTCCAAAGTAATCTGTAATAGTCTCTTCCCCTTTCATTTCAAGCAACTCATAATTTCTTCTAAGGGCCTGCAGTTGAACTTTTTGAACTCTGGCACTACCTTGGAATTTCAATTTCATGGAATCCCAGAGTTCTTTTGAAGTATTCTTCTTAGTGATAGTTCTTAGCCTTTAGATCCCTCAACTTAGAATCCTCCAGAGATTTGAGCTCTACTGCAGACACCTGCTCTCCTGAAGCAGGCTCCTTGATTCCTTCACTTACAACCTGCCAATACTCCTTAGATCTAAGGAGATACTCCATCAAGAGGCTCCAATGTTCAAAATCTCCATAGAATTTCAGTATGCAAACTCGTGCAAAGCTGTTGCTTTTACTCATCTTGAGATCTCACTCAAAAACTTACACAACCACTGCTTGGCAATAGATTTCACTCACCCTTGGATTGATATCCTCACAATACTCACACAACAACTGCTTGACAGCAGATCCCACTCACCCTTGGATTGATATTCTCACGAAAACTCTTGTGTTTGCACTCTATAGTCTGCAACTCATAGCAGGACTTCTCACAATCATTCTTAATTTGCTTGAAGCCTTTGGTTACAGCTTGCTTGAGCTCTGATACCACAATAAACGTTAAATTGAAAGCAAACTGACCAGTTTTATTGGAATGAATGAAAATGACCATAAATACACGAGTCTGGCCACAAGATCCGGCCTTTTACCCACTACTCTAACTCCACTACTCTGAAATACAACAACCACTAACAACTAACCATGCTAACATGCTGCAAATCTTGACCCAACTAACCAACATACACAAATGGACTATATTTTGACGCAAAATAGAACTAAAGAACCATAAATACAATTAACCAAGCAACCCCACTTTGGCTTAACATCCTTATTTCCAACTCAGACTCCCCGCCTCCTTGATGCAGCTATCAGTCAATTGGAGGACTGCTAACATGTTCCACTTACTCATCTAGCTATTTTCATCCGCTGGTAAGAACCCGTGTGTCTGATTTGTTTCTTTCTCTGTATTTGCTATAGGTTTTTGGTGATTCTCTCTTGGTTGTGCAGTCGCCATCTAACATGTAGAAGGTAGAGTTGATAAGCACTTGAAATGCGGCAGGGCAGATTTTACGCGATCCGCGCGGGGCAATGTTTGGATCGAAAAGTGTCAACCCGTTGCGAGACGCGGGCTGAGCGGATCATAATCTTAAATAGCAGGGCGGGACACAGGTTTGGTGGTATCCGCCCCAAACTTAACCCGTTGCCATTCCTACATGCAACTTGTTTCATAAAGCCTATGAAGAGAGTAAAGACTCTTAGAATGATGGAGTTCCGCTATGGGCTTACGAGCCCAGAGCCAATCAACAGAAAACAAAGTAAGGAATATGGAAGGATGTGCTTTTTTCCATCGTTGTGAAAAAATACTTAAATATTGAAACATAAATTTCAATAGGAGCTCTAATCTACTTTAAGATTAAATAAATAGCAAGTGAAAGGAAAGTGAACAATTTGCCACATTTGAACCAATCACATCAACATTTTCATTGTGTTGTTGATACTTGATACCACTAAACTAACAATTTATTGATAAAATTATTTGAAAATGTAAACGAAATAAATGTTAATATCTATATCATTCCCATTAAACATTCAGCACTTCAAATTACTACTACTTAATGCGATCACACAAAACAAGTTGTAGGAGTAGAAGTTCACTCTACACCTAAGAATCAATATGACATAAACGTTACCTCAATTATAATAAACTAAGGCTGGCTTTAAATCCATATAAAACAGAAGAAAAATTAAGAGCACATAAGTCAATAGTTTCGATATACCTTTTCGCCATCAAATAAATTACACATGATGATCATCAGCTCACTCTCAAGTCACCTATCCCTCCAAGACCCTATATTAATATTACCAATAATACCATCTCCTTATAAATCAAACATATTTTTATCACACCATTTCATGACTTTCCCCCACTTCACAAATTTTAACCGTAGTCCTTTTTACCACTGTAGTTATTCCCTCTCCCACACTTTGTCTAAAACAAACACGCAACGTAACTAAGAAGAATAGTCAACCCCATTAATTACTACCATTCCCCTTCCCGTTGACCCCGACTCTTCCCTCCATCTCTACGTCACTATCCTCCTCCACAAACCTCTTCCACAGCCAGTGCTGCGCCCAAACCTTCTCCGTCATCTCCTCGATCGGCACGTTCTTCGTCTCCGGCACCAAGAAAAACACGAATACCGACATCACCGCCACCCACCCGGAGAAGAACAAGAAGATCCCGAACTTGAAGTGGCACAGCATCGAAAGGAACGCCTGCGCGATCACGAAAGTGAACAGCAGGTTCACGCACACGGTGACGCTCTGCCCCGCCGACCTCGTCTCAAGCGGGAAAGTCTCGCTCGGGATCAGCCACCCCAACGGACCCCACGACCACGCGAACGCCGACACGAACGTGCACACCATGATCACCACCAGGACGGCGAACCCCTTCCCGAGGTCGTCGGAGTGGTCCGTCACTTTGATCCCCAGCACCACGGCGATCACCACCTGCGCCAACCCAGTAAAATAAGGTACGGCTGAGTTACATGTAGTATAAAATATGCTGCACTTCGTCAATATATAGTTATAAAATATACAAAATTAAGTGGATTGAATATGATCCATGGATTGGCTTGATGTATCCATGGATCAAGTGGATTAGATCAAATTGATTGGTGAATTCATGGATTAAAATGACATCTAAATATTAGATCAATATGTTAATTTTGAAAAGTTTAGCTACTAAAATGTCATAATGATAAATTTTTGATACCAAAACAAAACTTTTCAATGAAAATTTTCTCATACAAATATTTTAGGTACTAAACTATAATTTGCCAATAAAATTGGAAATATCAAATAAACAAGAAAAAATTGAAATGACAATAATAATAAATACGGATACGAAAATTTTAAACGCAACTAAAATACGTATGGAGGCCACGTGTAGTAAATGAAGTATTTACAGACCTGGGAGAGGAGCATCTGGACGCCGGCCTCGAGGAGGAGCTTGCGGCGGCCGAGCCTGTCGACGGAGTAGATCGAGACGACCGTGGAGAGGACGTTGACCGCTCCGGTGATCACGGCGGAGTAGAGGGAGGCGTCGCTGCCGAAGCCAACGGTGTTGAAGAGCACTGGGGCGTAGAACATGATGGCGTTGATCCCCGTGCACTGCTGGAAGATCTGCAGAGCGATGGAGATGACGAGCGGGGGGCGGTTCTTGCGCTTGAGGAGGTTTCGAAACGGGTGTTTGACTTCCTTGGCGATGCGGCTGGCCTCGACGAGCTCGAGGAACTCCGGCTCGATCTTGTCGGTCCCCCTGATTTTGCGGAGGACGGCCTTGCCCTCGTCCAAACGGCCGCGTTCGATGAGGCTGTTGGGCGTTTCGGATACGAGGAGGGCGCCGACGGTGAGGAGGACGGCGGGGACGCCGGCGAGGCCGAGGGAAAGCCTCCAGCCCCATCCGCCTTTGATTCTGCATGGAGTGGGTTCGTTAATAAGTTAAATGAGGTGGTTTGATTTTAATTGTGTGATTAGAAATGATAAATTACGAATGCGCGCGGAGGAAGGTTAATTACTTGGCGGTGCCGTAGTTGATCAAGTTGGCGAAGAGGATGCCGATGGTGACGTTGAGCTGGAAGAGTATGTTGAGCGCTCCACGGATTCGGGTTGGTGCTATCTCTGATAGGAAAAGTGGGACTGCCTGTAAAATATTATACACACAAGATATCATTATTATGATTATTAGAATTATGGTTCGTGTGGTTAATATTAATCTAACAAGTAAACTTCATATAATTTTTGGATAATTAGACAGCTAATTAACTTGGTGGTGAACATGTGTCTTTTCCTTCAGTTCTAGGTCGTAATCAACTAGTTGTTGGAGGTAGTTTTCATAGCTAACTACTCTTTGTCCATGTGTGGGGTTTCCGAATTTTCCTTAATTTGTATTTATTATATATAGTATTCAAACATGAGACACATGGACAGGAAATTAATTAAAGCAGTTGGAGAAATATCTAACAAACCAGCCCCCCACTTTACTTGTATTTTAAGAAAGAAAGAAAGAAAGAAAAAGAAAAAATATCTTGGCAAGTGATCCTTACATCATAATCAGTTGCCAGTCGGGTCCAAATTCAGTGATTACAAAAAGATATCGTTATGTATAAAATGATTAAATATAGACCAAGAAAAATCAAAGCAAAGTGATCCTGTCCTGTGGGTGTCATAAAAGTCAGTGACGGCCCCATTAGTCTTAAAGCAACAGGAAAGATGTTAACAACACATGTAGGTGATTAAAGTACTCTGTCACGAAACAGTTATGGTTTTAATTTTAATGTTTTATTGGTTAATCAGGATTTAAAATGAGGAGCATTGTACCTCGCTTTGACTATCAATGTGCTAATCTAAGGGGTTGATGATCATTATTGATTAATTAACGCCAAGTCACATCAAGAGACCTCAAATTTCTATATTGTGTACTTGTGTGCCACAATTGGATGGGAATGAAAGTTTTATTAGTTAAATTAGGAGAATATCCATTATTTAATTTTTCTAATTTATGAAGAATTTTAATTAGACCTTTAACAAATTGGTTACCTACTCCGAATGACAGCATAACTCTTCACAATTCAACATATATCAAAATAAATGGGCACAATTTACTTATTTTCTAGTACAATGTATTAACGAGATGTAAAAAACAACAAAATTTTACGACATACTCTACTTAAAATCTTGAAATTCATAATTATTTTTCTCGTTGACCACAGTCTATATATAGGAACCAAGCTATCTACGACTTTTAACCTTGGTTCGAGTGAATCACCATATATATTCTATGTACTTTCCCATATGTGATATCGCTAGCTTGTAAGCACATTAAATGATACTTTTATGTGTTGTTTAATTTCATTAGACTAGAAAAATGTACACTATCATAGACTTAGTATATCCAAATTAATCATAACCCCAAAGATTGTTGGGAGAAGGAAAAAAAAAAAAAAAAACATTTCCATGGATATCATCTCCCTAGGAGGAGGAAGCTGCCCTTCCCAGAAAATCAGCCTTGGAAGTCTGACTATTGACTTTTCTGGAGTAGCAAATAATAATGGAATATAAGAATCTTAGCTTGCGTTCATATTTAATTAGTAGAAGAAGTAAACCGGCGTTTACCAGACAAAAAAGACCCACATGTGTGTTCAGTGTTCTCCCACTGATTTGGTTTTTGTTTTTTTAAACGTGTCCATCATTCCAAGTCCAACCAAGAGTACTGATCAAAGCATTACGGATAAGTTTGAGATAAACCATTTTACAGCAGTGAAAAAATATATATATATTTGTAAAAATAATTACGTTTGATATATAATATAATGATATATATATTTGTTGAAGGAAAATCATACTATTCACTGTTATATATGCGAAACGAAACATTGGAAAGCTGTAGTAATTAGTTACCTGATTAGCGAATCCGACGCCGCATCCGAGCAGGATCCGCCCGACGATGAGCATGGCGAGGTCCTGAGCGGCGGCGTTGAGCACCACCCCGGCGATAAAGAACAAGCCGGCGATCAACATCGTCGGCCGCCTCCCCAGCGTCCTGGTGGTGTAGGAAGCGAAAAAAGTCGCCGTCAGGCCGGCCAGGTAGAGCGAGGACGTGAACAACTGCAGGCCTTGGTTGTCGTACTTGCAGTAGTTGCTGTTGTTGAGCGTGGGGTCCTGCGTCTTCCTCGCCACCACCGGGAAAAACTTCTCCAGAAACGCCGGCATCGACGTCACTCCCCCTGCAGGAGAGTTGAGTTGATGATTAATTACGGTCCAGGGAAAAGGAAATTGAATTTCCAAAAGTGACCCTCCGCATTTAAGGCAGACCAATTATCGTCGTGGGAGAGTAAATAAGGGGGCGTAATTAATTGCTATTGCTAGACATCTTACTGACTGACAGAAAAAGAAAGATGAGGAAACTTAATTATATTGGTAGGTGGAAAAGGGAAATATAATAAATGAATTATATTATTATGGGTATACCTGAGACACCGACGTCGTATCCGAACATGAGGCCGCCGGTGGCGGCCATGATACAAGACATGATGACGATCGGAGTGATCTTAGCCTCGAACTCCGTCCCTCCCGCGGACGACGAGACGAACCCTCCGCCTGCCATGGCTTGGTTTGTCGTCTCAGAACTCTAAGTGTGATTCTACAGAAAATCTGTTTCCGAATGAGCAATGAGATAATAGGACTGAGGAGAAGGAAGAGAGTGAATAGAAATGGAGACTTGAGTTGAGTTGAGAGGGGTTTATAATTATATAGGGAGATCAAGCTAAGTGTAGAAAGAGAGAGATGGAAAATGGATATAGTAAGAAAATGTGGGGTATCCCTCCACGTGGCGTTTGATGATTTATGTATTTCCAGCCGGATTCCTTTCTTTCCATTTTGTTTTAAACAAAGAAAAAGGATCCAAGGAAATTATTAATTAGCATGTAAAGTCCATAACGACGACGAGGACGACGGCAGGTCGGCCGGGATAGGTAGGAGCAAGTCAACGGACGACTCTCAAAGTAAAAGGAAGAAGATTCATTCATTCTTTCATCGGAACCACAAACAAAAGGACGACCAACCAAACTCTGCAAAGCTTAAACAAGTAAGACTAAACAAAACAAACCAGTCCAACGGTCACACCAAATACAGATAGATCGCGATATGTATGACTATTGGCCCAACAAATTTTACGTTTACATTAGTGGTGGATCCAAAATTTTCCAACTTACATGCACTTAGAAAACCTTTTTCAGAATTATTTGATGATGCAGTGTTTCAATTATTATTTCCGGATTAGCTCTTCTTTGCCCTGGTGAAATCTCCCTATTTAATTAAGAGAAATCCATATTTTGAATTAGATAATTTCTTAATTCCAATATAATCTTTTTGCAAAAAAAAAAAAAAAAAAAAAAAATTGTTAGCAGAAAAGTCAACCTGCTCTTAAAACATGCATTAATTAGCAGGATTAGATTGTACGTGTTTGGTCTAATGGAATTAGCCTTATTCTTATCCTTATTATCCGGTTGTTGTTCCCCTTTTTCCCACGCACCGGCTGGCTTAATGATCAAACCAGCACTAGCAGCAGTAATATTATCTTAAGTTCCACCTTCGGACATACTCTATACAGGTGAATGCTTTTTCCCTTTTTGCATGTATAAGTTAAATATATGATATATTGACTTAGATTAAATCCATTTATGTATTTCCACTGCAATTAATTGTATGCAGTAATTATCCCGCGTAGTGGGAACAATTAATAATGAACGTACGAGTTTTTTTTATCTTTCTGGCGTGATGTGATCTTAGTTGATTAAGATGGCTAACTGATAACGTGTATGTGCTAGCCTGTGAGTAAATCAGATGATCAAATGAGGAAAACGTACTATAAAGACGCTATGAGTTCATCAGTGCATGCTTAAAATTTCGAAATTCGATGTTAACAAACTTCTTTAAAAAAAATATCGTTATTGTAGCTTTGTATGTTGTACTAATAATTAATCACATTTTGTGTCCTTGAAGTCCAAAAAATACTTTATGAAAATCTTCTGAATAGGGAAACAAAAGTGGTCCAAATTAAAATTTGTCCATTTTTCTTGCTCGTGTTTGTTTGCGTAGGGCTACCCAAAAGCCCACACTGGCCACTATGTACACGACTTGAGCTTAAAGAAAAGAAAAGAAAAGAAAAGAAGCCCTTTTCACATTCAGCTGGCACACAGCTTTATAACTTCATACGCACCATCCTTCTCTCTTCTCTTCTCTAGTAGGTGTTGAACTTGGAATTCAACTACTGTGTAGATAGCTAGCAACCAGCTGCACTACTTGGAAAAGTAAACGGCATGCAAATTGCAATGCAATGCCCCTTTCTTAATTTGTACGATAAGGTTAGCGTGCACCCGGACGTACGCTAGTCCAAACCCTTTTAATTTTTTCCCCAAAGCACGTACCATCTGTAGCCTGTTTGCTTAGCTTTCTGCCCGTTAGGATTTTGCCTGATTGTTCTAGGCAAAACCTTTTTGTTTTCTTTGTTTGGTTGCTTGTGACGGGACAAGACAGCTTTCAAATTCAACGAACTCGCCCATATATAATGTGCATACTAGCTAAAAGAAGCAAAGGATTTTGTATTGCTCTCGTGTTTGTTTCAAACTTCGAACCTAGCTAGCTAAGACATGGTTCCGTGATGGGTGTCTCACTCTTACATCGCCAGTGAAACAAATTAAGCTGATTGATCTTTTAAGTTATTCTACTAACGGATAGCTCTAACAAACTATCTAATCTTACCATTGAACCACAGCCAAGTTCACTATTACAGACTAATTGCAAATTCTAAATCCCAAAACCCTGCTTATTATGCAATGCAATTGTTGAATCGAATCGTGTGAAAGGAAGCCCGAATCAACTCATGATGGGCAATTGAACAAATCGTCACCTTCTTCATCAGCAAAGTGCATCCTCTTCATTTGACTCCATTCCTAGCTCAACACTTCTTGTTCCACATGCCCATCAAACCGACGAGTATATGTCTTGTACCTGTCAAGCTAAACGAAAGAATAAGAACACAAGGTTTAACGTGGGTTCTCTGAGTGTCAGGACTAGTTCACGGGGAGATGCTTAACCCACCAAAGTCAATCTTATTAGTTACAGAAGCAGGTGTACACGAAACTATATATAGGGTTTACGTACAACCCTAATGACTAAGGCTTATACAATTACAAAATGGTACCTAAACATTTAACACCCTCCCTCATATTGATGTTGGGTGCGCAACATCAATTTGGATGATAGGTACCAATGTATGCTGCAATGTAGTCAAAATCCCGATTTTAATCTTAAAATCTTACGATTTTACGATCTTACCTATGGGTTCTGATCCTGATTTTACTGTAAAATCTTTGAACCTTAAAATCCCATAAAATCCCGATTTAAAACTCTAAAATCCATAAAATCTACGATTTCTACGATTTTGTACGATTTCAAGGTTCATATCAATTGGATCAAAATTAGGCCGGTCAAGTTGGGTTATGCCCATGAACCGAGTCAAATTTACTTTCCCCAACCCAACATAATGAACAACACAACCCCGACCTGATAGTTAACCCTCAATTTATTTTCATTCTCTTCCTCGTATCTTCCTCTTTCGCATGTCGGCGCCCAACTCCTTCCATCAACGATATCTTCCACCCTCCCAATTAGCTTGTAGTTTGTTCCCACCACCCTCACAATAATCCAAATCTCCATTACATTGCAAGCTTTTGTTCATCTCCCAATCCTTCAGCACCACTAACCCGACCTTTTATCAATTAAGAAGGGAATGCATCAATCAATGAGTTATCATTTCCAGATGATGGTAATCAAGGAAATATGGTTAATGGTGAAAGTACTTCAAGTGATCATAAGAGTAATGATATTAGTCCTTAAACAAATAAAAACGATGAGAGTGAGGGGGAGGTTGAGGATGATGACGATGATGTGTAAGTGATGTTAATGTTGATCCTAACGATCTTATGTGATTTTCTACTCTTAACAATTAATTAACAGTGATATCTATAATGTTTCAGGTTTCTTATTTGTGTGTTTCTATTATGTACAAGAAAAATACATGGATTAGTTGTGTTTGTTTAGCAAACAAACTTATCTTGGAAAGTAATTATGCTTTATGTGGTTGAATGTTATTCAAGAAATGCATTTTTATTACTATCTAGTGTTTTAAGTATTTATTTTAATATGAACCTTAAAATCTTACGATTTTACGATTTTAATCTACGATTTCGATTCTACCTCAGTTTTTGATTTTACTTAAAATCTAGATTTTGACTGCATTGGTATGCTGGAAGCCAAAGCCTTAGTCAAAACATCTACTGTTTGATCTTCTATTGACAGATAGCTCAACTGTATTCTTCCTTCTGTAACCAGTTGTTTGATATTTAGTACATGAACCTTATGTTTCGTGCGATCATGGAGTACAGGATTAAGTGCAATCTGTATGGCACTCGTATTGTCACCATACAGCCTCATGGGTACTCGACAAGTTACACCCAATTCAGAACTCACTTCTGACATTGATCGATACTCTGCTTATGTTGACGACTTGGAAACACGATCTTATTTCTTACCACGTCAGGACACAAAGGACTGCCCAACCCTGACACACCACCCTGAAGTTGATCGTCGTGTATCAAGGCATCCTGCGTAGTCAGCATCTGCGAACGCCTCTACTACAACCTCTCCAGACGAGAGAAAGAAAAGACCAACATCCTTTGTCCGCTTAACATATCGCAGTATCCTGTGAACGACATCCAAATGTTGTGCTCGTGCCACTCCCATAAACTGACTTACGACTTGAACTGCATAAGAAATGTTTGGCCTCGTGTGAGTTAAGTAGATCAGACTTCCTACCAGGCTGCGATATAGACACTGATCTTCCATTAAATCACCACTATCTCTAGTCAGTTTAAGATTATGCTCCATTAGGGTGGCGCACGGCTTACAATCCGCATAGTGTGCCATTTCCAGAAGATTGACAATATACTTCTTCTGCGAAACCAGAATATCTTGCGATGATCTTTGGACTTCCAAGCCTAAGAAATTATGACACATTGCATTGCCAAGATCTTTGAGATTGAAAGCCTTGTGAAGTGACTTCTTCAATTCCTGGATACCTTCTGTATCGCTCCCTGAGATGATCATATCATCTACATAGATCAATAATACCACAACACCATCTATTGTATTATGAATAAACAGAGATGGGTCGTTCTGACTTTGATCAAATCCAACTTGCACAATGACACTGTGAAATTTCTCAAACCATGCACGAGGTGCTTGTTTGAGACCATACAGTGAACGAACCAATTGACATATCATATCCGCCGAACTCTTCATGTACCCAGGTGGTCTCTCCATGTAAACCACCTCCTTCAAATCACCGTGTAAGAAAGCGTTCATCACGTCAAGCTGAAACAACGACCATCCTCGCATAGCAGCCATGACAAACACACAACGAACCGTTTGCATTTTTACCACCGGAGCAAACGTTTTGTTGTAATCAATCCCATACTCATGGAGAAAACCTCGAGCAACTAATCTTGCCTTGAACCTCTCTATCATGTCATCAGGATTCATCTTCACTGTGTATACCCATTAACTACTGGTGACTTGCACATCTGGAGTTCTCAGCACCATCTTCCACATATTGTTCGCTTCAAGTGCATTAGTTTCCTCCTGCATTGCCATTTCCCAT